TTTAGTGCAACCTGGAGCCAGCAGCTGCCTTCTACTACTGAAAAATGCGGGAGGTCCAACGGCAAAAATGTAAGTGTTTGCTTAACGTAGACTCAGCTGCCCTACCACTGCTATCTTGGCGATCATTTCGGATGCAATTATAGCCTAGAAGCGAGAGTTCGGAGTCAGCTACGGAGGCTGATGCCCACTTCTCAGTTACTAAAGCAACATCTGGACAATGGACGAACACCTGAGTCTGAAGCAAAGGCATCTTATTAAGCAAGGATCTGGCATTTAAAACAAAAAGTTTGAAGGGAAAGGCTGTTAGTTTTTGAGTGAGGTGGGCTACATCGTCCAGTTCTGGGCTGCCCACGGAGCAAACGGTCCGGATGCAACCATCCGGTTTTGCAAAAAATTTTGTGGCATTGAAAAATTCTGACGTGGATAAAAAGGGGTAGGACTTGGGGAGGGGATGACGGGCAGGTGAACTGGTTACCATTGTTAGCTAACTTATTTTCAGCTGGAAATCCGCGGGGCAGATACTGTAATGTATTTCCGCCGGAACGAAACTGAGGATAGGATGAATTAACTGATTCAGTATGGACATTATCATGAGGAATAAATTGGTAAAACGGCCGTGGAGGAAGCAAGTTAGGGGGTGGGGGACGTATTGTTTCCATTGGAACAAGAGGTCTATTAAACGGTGGGAAAATCGGCATATTCGGCCTAACTGCCTTGATATGAGGGCTGGGGGCAGTTGCGAACCCGCTACGTTTTGAGTCGGGGTATTTGAGGCACTGTTCGCCGATTGTGGAGGAAAATATTTTTTACTGGTGCTGGATTTATTGGGTGTCCGAGTGGCTGAGACAGCAATTGGATTTGCCTTTGACTTAGACACATGCTTAGGCTTACTAGGGGTTGCTGAGGGAGTCGATAGAGGCGTGTTTATACCAGGCGTGATGGTGTGTTTAAAGAGCTCAGCATTAAAAGTAGTCGAATTCCCTACGGAATTGACTAGGCCGTGATGTGCAGATGCCGCAGTTGGTGTTGTAGAGGACTTATTGAGACTGACAGTAGGTGTCAGTATCTTGGTGCTGGTTTTTGCCGATTTTAATTTATTCAGTCTTCGCTGTAGGGGTGTGAGGTCTGTCGAAACGGAGCAGCGCCATTTACGGCAGAAGTCTATAGTTATCTCCCTACTCGACAGGATAAAATCGACTTCAATCATGGAGAAAAGGGTAACTAGTATCGGCGCATTGCGGCTAAGCGAGCGAAGTCGCTTAGCTTGTGCAACACTGAAACTCAAGCCACAACTTTGTAGGAACACATGCGCTCCCTCCATAGCAGATAAGTGGATCAGAATGTTTCGCAGTACGAAATTATGCTTGCGCTTAATTCTTTCCTCAGTTTCCGAACTTATTACCCCAATAAGTTTAAAAGCTTGTTCAATTACCTTTTCAGAAGTGCTGTTTATGGCGCCATAAATCAACTGGTCGACTATTTCGCCGGCTGATGGCCTGCTACGACTAGCAGAGGCGTATTTTTGGACGACTGAAGGGTCGAGAGGTTCTACATGTACTAAAGGAATTTGTGAGTTACTCAGATCTGCAGACGGCGAAGAACATACGCTGGCGTCTGCCATGTCTTCAGTCACGATTTTAGCACCCAGAGACGGTGGGGAGGCCGCAAGCTTTCGCCTTTTAGCACGTGCTCTGCGGGGCATTACAGACAGGAAAAGTTTTTCGTTACAGAAGAAGGATCAAAACGTTGCCAACGTACGGAAACGTGCACTTAGTAGTAAGTATTACTGTTTTTTAACTACGAAAACTAGAAAGCGGTAGTAGGGAAAGGATTCACTACAATGTATTTTTTACAAAATACGACTATTTTGCCAGACTGTTAAACAAATTGGGAAAAAATTGTACCTTATATAGAAAGGCGACTTTTAAAACGGACTCATGTAAAAACAGGCATTAATTACTTAAGAATATCCAGATAAATGCAGAGCTTCACTAATCTGTGAAATTGCCTAACCCTCCCAGCACCGGCCTCCTTGTGTCACCTCCCAGCCCCGCCTGGCAAAGAGACTAGGAAGGGTCTAGGGAAGAGGTACGAAGAGACTATGGCGGGACGAATTCCCGGCATTGATCTCTCGCACACCCTCGCCGACAAAATGTGCAGGGACGCCTTATTTATGCCGTGTTTGTCCCCCTTTCCGCTTCCGATTTTTTTTCACAATCCTTGCCATATAATACCTTTACGCGCAACGCGAAGCCCCAAAACGAACCAAACTGCCAGAACTCTTGGAAGCCGGCTAATGGTTGCAGAAAATTTATTGAACGAAAAAGGTAAAGCAAAGTAGTATGTGGAACAAGCCATGCTACGTCAAGGCACATATTTTGCATGAATGTCGCTATCGGTAGCGGGTTCCTACAAGAAAAGAAAGCAGTTGATCAGATATCCTCGCGGATGTGCTAATACTTAAACGGTGAAAAATCCTATTGCTGTAATATGGCTTTTTAGCAATATAGTTTACTGTGCACGGCAGTACGAAATTGAATAGTGTGAATATAAGCAGGTTTTAAAGATATATAGAAAGGCGTACTCACAGCGTTTTCAGACGTAAACATTGTGAGGTAATGTGCGGCCGTGAGTGCAGACGGGAAAGTGAAAGAAGGTAAGAACGACTGAGGACAATTATTTTACTTTCGTAGTAGTGTTCCGACATTTGGCTCTGTCGCCATATCTGTCTCGCGCCCCGTGGAACCAGTCATTCGCACTCTTGCGGACGGAGTCTACAGTGCAATCAAGAGAGGGCGGTGTGTTCACGAATAGTAGCTTGACAAGTAAACTTAAATATATAACGCACCAATGGGAAGGCCATAAATGGGGCTGCCGACAAAGGTCGATTTTCTAATGACCCACCACAGCAGAAGCCGATGCATAGGGGATGACTGAGTAGAGCAGTCAGGGGATTCCTAACAAACTCTTTCTCGTTTCGGTCGCCAATGATGGCCAAACGTTTTATATATAATCCATCCAAATTACTTAGGTGTGTAAATATAGGCATACTGCCTCCTTAGCAAAGCCTGCATTCGTTTCAAGCCGACTAACAAAGGTATCATAGGCCTCGCTGGCAAACAGCGGCAAATTGGGTGATGGCGACACATCTTCAGTCGGCCGACGTGTTTCTTGAATGACCTTCAAATTTTTAGCAACGGCCGCTTTTAATTGCGCCATGTCCGTCCGAAGCTAAACAGTTCTACCGCTACGTAGTCTACTTTTTATTATGTGTATATCATCAAGACACATTCCGGACACATTCAACGTCATTTTGTACGTGTGTTAAACGTTTGTCGGCGGCAGTTGTGCAGAGTTCTATATTCAGCCTTAAGTATACATTAAAAACTCGTTTACTGATATTCCATTGATGGCGTTTGTTGACTTGTTTATCTCCACCACGGTGCACTTTCATAGTTGTCCGTGGTCTAAAGCTTGCCAGTCTACGACTATTCTTACTGGAGCTTGTGTGGCGGCGTGGGCAGACCAGTTAATCTGCTTTCTTGCATAGGTCTTTGTGTGATTACATCAGCGTCGCCATCCGAGTCAGAGGTGAGATGCGGACATACCTACAAAGATATGTTGATAACAAGCAAGCATTTACTTTCTCATCATACTTTGGCCTAATTTCGTAAGCTTCGAGCTGGATAGATCGTCAGTAAGTTCAGCCTTTCTGATAAGCCGACGCGCTCTGTGCAATGTGAGACTGTCCCTCAGCACAAGCGCGGCACAGACCTTGGTGTCTGCTGGAAGCCTCAAATTATATCCCAGCAGTTGGTCAAGTTACTTGGAGTTCTTAGGCCACATAAAAAAGTTATCATTGTAGAACCACGCCATGGCCACCACTGCCACGGTTTTATTATTAATAAATTCAACTACCACGTACATCTTTACGCACCCAAAAGACGAAAGTTAGGAAGTGCTTTCAAATAATATAAACGGAAAAATAGGCTGTAAAATGTAGAAAAGTGGGGAATAAGAGACGTCGTAGTTCTTTGAATGTGTGCAACATTAGAAAGAGCATGGAACGACCACCAGGGTAAAAGTGGACGCATGTACAAATAATGTAGTCGAGGGCAGCAGTTAAGGGTCTGCTAGCTGAAACGGATGCTTGAACGACAAATAAGTTCGGGAAAGAGAGTGAGGGTCCGAAACAGTCTTGGCAGTTCACGAAGGGACGGTACGCTATGCCAGTAGCTGATGCGGGTGTCAGTACGCACGGCCAAGTACCAAATAGTTGAGTATTTGGGTCGACAATACATAACAATTATAGAAAATGGCTTCGAAGCTGCGAGACAACTGCAAATGCCGTGACACTCCCTCATCGTCGTCCAACAGTATGGAACCTGTGTACGACTCAGGTAGGCGACTTTCATTAATGCGCCTACACACCTGTGCGGCTACGTTCAGTTTGCACGTTAACTTAAACATTTGAGTCATACCCACATATATTGGCAGCAAACCAAACTCCTTTTCGAGTGTTAATGTTTCTTCACTGTGCAACTATGCAGGGTGAAAATTATGACACTTCCTGACCATGTTCCGATTTATCACATGCCTTGACCGGACTTATCTTAAGCTTTCTGACAACTGCACAACTGATTCTGAGGTTTAGTGGAACTTTCTGTCTTTTTGTTTTTTGTATCAACTAACGCAACCATCTGCCACTTTATTTTGTTTTCGATTTTTTTGTTGCTAGCGCCTCCTTCACCCTCTTATCTAACGCTCTCCTTTCAGGTTATATAAAAAACATTCTTGGAAGTAATTCGCTTTTAAAAACCTGGTTGACCCCTGCCGAGAGTTATTTTATTTTTTTGGTCTACAGCTTTAGAATCGGAATACAAATTCGGTGCTTTTGGCAATCCGAATAAATCTAATGTCTTTATGAACCTTGAACTCATATGTTATGTTCAGCCCTGTTGTTGCTTTCAACAAAACGCCCGGTTAGCCAAATCTGAAGTATGGCGCAGCATTCGACAGGTTGTTTGCATGCTCTTTTATTTCACGACTCTCTTTGTGCTACTTTATCTAAATTAAAGTTAAGATTCTTATGCTGCATTAAACCTGACTGTTCGTCAACTCATCTAAGTAATTATTTACCTAGTCAGTCGAAGTGTAAGGCAACACTGCGGGAGGGCCTGCGGGTATGCGGACGATCACTGGGAGAAGGGTGTTGCAGTAGAAAAGTTCGGCAAGGAACAAATATGTTCGAAGATATTTCAAAAAGGAATTGGACGCACATGGCGAATTTTCGTTCCAGATGCGGGCTTACTGCCCATTTCGTTACTGTGGCCAGGTCCTGTTCATTTGATCGTACAAAGCCGGCGTATTCCTCTTGAATCTGCAAGGAGCTGGAGAGAACTGTCCTCTTCAATTTGCGTTCTGTATCTTTCAGAAGCTGGCATATTTAAGAACCGCCGAAGCCAATTCAGCGCAGCCCTCCCTAACTTGTCACACCTGGGCCTAGGACGGTTGCCAATCCGCACGGGCTTCCTGAGCACTGAAGTTCTCATCTCTGACTTAGTTAGGGAAACAGAACGGAGCTGTAGAGGGGCATCGGGTGAGAGCGTGTGCCAAGGCTTGGGCGCAAACTAAGCAGGGGGTATCAGAACACGAATGCAGAAAGACGCAGGTTGCCGCATGGGCAACATGATCGCGAAACGCAGGGCGAAGCAGAATAGACAGGAAGCTCGTATATAGAAAGTTGAGGGGAGATACCGACGACTGACTACGACTATCACATCCGTATCAGCAAGGTCTGTGTGTACTTTTTTTCTGCACGGAGGCAAGATTGGTGCCCCTGGTCTTCGAGTTCTATTCAAGATGAGACCAAACAAAGGCTGTATACGCATACACATTTTGCTCGACGAGTCATTGGAAGCACTTAAGACGACAGAGTCCCGTTTATGTCTTGCCGTCGGCCCACAAACCTGGACTCCGTGGCACCATTCAAAGTCGTGTAAGAGTTGAAAAATCTGTGGCCCATCCGCCAAGCAGAGTGGTCGCTTCCCCTGGGACCATTCGTACATGCCGTCGAGAGTCCGAGTCCGGGCTGTTTCAGGAGATTTTCTATTTTGGTGCACTTTTTACGAAAGCATACTAGTCTGTCCCTGTACTTAGTCGAACTAAGTTTTGTATAGGAGCATGATTCTGTGCCTGGTCCATAATTTTAATGTCACTAGAGAGACTAAATACAATGTAACCGGTCAGGAGGGAAAATATTAAAATTTTAACTGTAAAGTCTAATCAGAAAAACGAGGCAGTCCTACAGAGCACTTCTCACTCCGGTTTAAGCCGCCATCTCGTCTAAATACCAATCTTTTCCCAGAGGTTGTGTTTAGCAAATGATTTCCTCCTTAAAACCACTTTTTTATAATATCCTTTTCGAAAATTTTACACAAACAAAATGCCAAGTTAGACACCACTTGTATTCAGACTGGAAACGGAAACGTGATTTTACTCGATTTCTCTACTTGTTGACGTTTTTTTTTCAGTCATAATTCCTCGCAATTTCTACCTGATTGATGAACTTGAAAATGGACAGAAAGGTTTTAACGATGGAACTATTAGCTGGGGATTGGAAGACAATGATGACTCCTCTTTGACATCTTGGAATGGCATGATAATCGGCCCTGCAAAAACAGCGTTCGAAAATAGAATCTACACGTTAAATATTAGGTGTGGAGAGAACTATCCTGACGTTGCTCCGGAAGTCAAGTAAGACCTCAACGTCTTTATTTTTTTCTATTTTGTGTACTTAGCTAGCTGACACATTTTCGACCTTTTGTTCAGAAAAAGTGCTAAAAGCTCGAGACCCCATTTACAATTCACTTGAGTCAACTGCTTGCCGTGAAATGGCAATGTTAAGCACCCTTTAAGGCTATAGGGCGGCTTCGTTTATTATGGGTTTTGTGGTACATCTCAAGTGTCGATGATGTCGTATTCCATTGATTCGCAATTCCTCTTTCAATATGTATTCGCATTTGAAATTCTGCCTGTTTTATGTTAACGTATTCAGTTGGCTCCATACTCTAAATTAATCGCCTCTTCAGTTATCCCTTCCCGTCCCCACCTGTAGCTCAGCCGGTAAATATGCTAGTCAGGCAAACTGTAGACCTTGGGGCCATGACTGTACTCAAAGTCTTCAACCTGTTCTTATTTTTGCCAGACTGTCCCCTCACTTCTCACCTGAATTCCGAAATTGGTAAACGATCGTCTTCGGGTCGCCGTAGCGACAGACAGCGTTTTCAGTCATTGAGTGTGAGAAGTAAAATGGGCTGGTCGTGTCTCCAGCCAACTACAGTCCTTCGTTAGATAGGTGATTGGAGGAACAAATTCAAGATGTGATTGCATCGCGGTGTTGTGAAGGCGTTAGTCGTTCGCTCAGCCAGAGAATGGCGCCTAAATGCAATCAGTCGTTCATTTACAGGCGCTCAGATTCTTCTGGCAGAGACCATATTAACTGATAGAAGCGAACAGGCGAGTTCCAGGTAGCAGTTCAGAAGACGAAGATGCGATCACGACCCCAGCGGTGATTGCGAGAACTGTTAATTGCAGTGCGCATACAGTCCCACGGCAGCCACGTGCTGCAAATACTACACGCCTTGAGCCACCACCTTTATCTGCGAATGTCTCTGATTATGGATTCGAGTGAGAATCCAAAACATCGGGCCAATAAACTTCTTGTTCCTGTGATCGTATCTTCGTCTTCTGAACCATATTAACTATTAGCTTGTTTGTTTCTGGATGATACGACACTTAATCATTGGTTGAGGGATAATTCGGTGGTCGGACCACGTGCCGACGAGATCACTGACGAACCCGCCGCCCAGTTGTTTCTGGCAAGACCTTAATCACAGTTGACTCGTATGAGTGAGATTGTACCTCGTCATCGCCTGCCAAGGCTCCAGCGGTAATCTTTCCCCTTCGAAGTAATAGAACCGTAATTGGTGACGGCCTGCCAGCTGAGGTCTACAAGTTGTTCTGGTGTTTTGTTCGAATGGCCTAAGAAGGTATTTAGATTTCTGGCGCATCGAGTATGTTCTATGGGACTAGAGCAATACCGCTCTACCTCTCCTCTGCAAGAAGGGAAACAAGGCGGAATGCCGCAATCGAAAAATCATCAGCCTAACCGACGTCGCTATGACGTCTTCAGTAGAAGCCTCAACCATCATCACTCCACCAAAGATATACTGACAGGAAAAACAACGGCGACTTTCGTCCCCTGCAGAAGATACGTTGACAAGGTGTAAACTGCAGCGATTGAATCTGACAGCAATTATGGAATCCAGTCTGATATTCGGGAATGGGGCGCAAACTAAACACAAATCGCTGGGGACTTAACGACAATAACATAGTATAGCTTGTTATGGGTCGTGACACCATGGCCTTGCGGTCTTCAGTTTGCGTGACGGGCGTGCCAAATGGCTAAATTTTGACCAAGAGTCTACTCTCGACCGACTTAAGTGGAAGGTAGTCGTCCGCGATGTAATGAATTTGCAACAAACGGCCGGCCAAATCACCTGGAACGAGCGCCGTTTGACTAAGTGCAATGCGTTCCTTTCGTCGGAATATCGCGCCGGTTAGTGAGGCCACCATCACGCTTTCCTTGTCTCTGATCTCTAAGGTCCTATAAAACCGACTGTCATTGTTAACTGATCGCGCTCTATTTCCGTTTCCGTATTTAAACGCGACCGTGTCGTACAAGATGTTTGATCTCGTGGCGCGCGTTTCTAAATTCTCCTCCCAAAAGTGAGCTACCCCTACTTTACGAGGCACTGAGGTCGTCGAACTGAAGATCCATCCCTACTGTTGTAAAGCACGTCCTGAAAAGCATTCTGGGGGGATTTTATCTAGTCTTCGGGGGTCCTCTTATTCAACTAAAAACTCCCAAGTGCAAGTTCTTATCCATATCAGCGCGTCGAAGTCTTCGGAGGTAGCCAGACAAAAGCCCTTGGCTGTGGCAGTCGCCAATATATTTTACGGGATTTCATGCATTACGACACCCCGGAATCTGCGTTGCCACTGAGTCCTCGCTTCTCTTAAATCCTTAACGTTTGTTTACCTGGGTATGTGCACTAGAACCATCAGTCGCCGGTCAATTGTCCAAAATCTCCTTACATTGGCGTCTGTTGTGACCTAGCAGCTGTTGCGGGTTTTGACTGAAGATGCTTCAGGGACGAACGTAGCGTGTCATTGTGAAAAGCCTAGGTGGCCGGCTCTGTTTAGACGCCGAGTCTAGGTGGGGGAGGAGAGAGTGCGGTAGATGCTGCGCAAGTCCACATTCACTATAAGCTAAATTACGTGCAAGTCGCCGTCCCTACTCCGCCTTGCAGTGGAGCACACGGTGGATATCGTTGAAACCAAAAGTCGAACCATCAGGCAGCTAGCTAGCAAGCTGTTGCGGTCACAGTAGGCTCATGGCGGTACGTGCCGTCTCAAAACAGCTCTCGCAGCCTGTCGACTGTTCCTCCGCGGAAACAGGAGATGGAACCTTAAGTTAAAACCCTGTCACATTAGGGGGTTTTGATCGGCGTCTTGCATCGCTGTTCCGTGATGCCCGGACTACTTTATAGCCGGCATCGTCAGCTAGGTAGGCTTCCCATTACAAGTGCTTATCTGCAAATTTTCTGTCCCTTTCCTCATATTAGCAACTACTGCGATTTGCCGAAAATATTCTACGCCCAGCCTAAGGCATGATTTGATGGCAAGGCAATTGGGCAGTTACAAGTAATCAGGAAGCAGCTTTACTGCTATCCTTTAGTTTCCTTGACGAAATCTCGAAACAAAACTTAAAAAAACACCCTGTAGTCTAACCTTTGCGTTCAGCATACCGAAGGAGTTATTCGTATTGTTCGCAAACCTCGAGATGAATTCGTTCGCGACTGATAAAGCATATTTTGCGGCATTATTTTTGTCACTGAAGGTCGGCCCCAATGAGACCTGAAAACCTTTGGTTTTGGCCACTTTAAACTCAAATACAAGTTACACGCGTTTGTTTCTTCGATTTTTAATTAACAGCGTCTCCATATTATCACTAGGTTTCTCACAAAAATCAACATGGACTGTGTCGACAGCACGGGAAAAGTGAGTCAGTTTTCGTTTTGCCGACTGAACACTCCCTTTTCTGCATGCTGGCACATAACAGTTACACATTTCATTAATGCCCATGTGCTTAAATTACACGTGTCTTCGCTTGTGGCAGTCACCACCACCACCACCACCACCACCACCACCACCACCACCACCACCACCACCACCACCACCACCGCAAATGGGTCGTTCACTCTTCACGGAATAATTGCAAAAAACATCACTGCGTCTCTCACTCATGGGTATTTGGTTGTTAAGTATCAGCCGTCATCATTCCCCTACAAGAAAATCAACAGAGGGCATGGGGACTGGCTTGGACAGCTGATTGGTGTCTGCTATAGGGAAGATAGGGAGAGAGAGAGCGTTCGAATCAACGCATTCCCCATACTATGAACAATCCGACGCGCTTGAGACTATCATGGTGCGCTAGAAGCCGTGGCCTGGAAGGTTATCAGCTAAGGATCCAACTCAGACCTCGCAGTCAGCCCAGTATGTGCATGGAGTGGCCGACTGGTGGACTAGTCAGGCTGCAATGGCTCCTTAATGTGGTCTTTATGGAACTCCTATCTGTTAGCTGCCCTCCTACTATTGTGTGAAATCCTGGTCGCTTGTATGGGACTAGGCGTGTGGTGGCACTCCTAGGTGCGGGTTCATGCCGCGCCAGTCATCTGCATCTGCGGTCCGATCACGACGGCGGGCTCAGGCGGGAGAGAAGAGAGTGCGGCAGATGCGGCGAAAGTTTACTATCACAATAAACTAACTCACGTGCAAGCTACCACCTCTGCATCCATCCTGACATGGGGTACACGGTAGACATAGTTGGAATCGACAGTCGAACCGTCATATAGCAATAGGACCCAGCACCCTGAAACTTGTGACTACCATCGATATCCTTTTGCCTGGTGGCACAGGGGGTAATTTTCACCTAATAAGCAACTTACCTAAACTCCAACGTGGACACGGGGTTCTTGCCGCTGAAGCAGATGAAATCTGGATGAAGTATTGACTTTCGCGCAGAACCTCGTAGGCCTTGCTCCGAAAACTACTCCAAGGTCGCACATTAATCTATCCCTAAATAAAAAACCAAACATGCACTGAAGAATGACGCAACTACCGCGATAAAGAGTACTTATGCCAAGGACATGTCTAGGATCAAGGATGAGGCACAGAATGCACGCGGTCGGTCGTACGTGTTGTTTGGATGAAAGCCGTCAGGC